GGTAGAAGTAAAGATTGTCAAGGTCGCTTGTATTATCAGGGTGGCATTGGCATATTAGTTTATTCCGTCGGCTGAATGTTTTCCGATAAGAAAATCACCAGGTCGAAGATGCAACATTGTAGTTTTAAATTCTATACAGAAGGATAACAATTGGCTTTTTTAGTTAAGGTGAGAGACGCTGAGAAATTGTGCACGCACACGATGATGGCAAACAGAATATGAAATCTGGCGACTCAGAGTCGAATCAGCCATGGGGAAAAACTCGTACAGACCTCTTTAGCACTCTTCCGACAGCTGCGTGTCAGACAAGAGAATACGGTCGAGGTTTTGGAAATGGGATCTGGCTGAAAATTGTAAAAACTCGGAGGACAACTAAACCTCGTCCATTCGTTGAACTCATTGTTACCTTGATGACACAAACCAGGGGCAAAACCAATCCAAAAAACTAAGTGCAGCGAGCACTCCCCGATGTTGAGTACTCAGGATGATGTGGGTGGACTCACAATCACGTGATGTATTTGGCTTCCCTGCGGGACCACAAACGTCCCTGCTAGCATCAACCCCGTCGAACCCCCTTATATCCTGCGGGGGTACAGATGGTGATAGGGGGCGATACAAGTGCTGAATGTAAGGGTGAGGCAGGGTTTTCGATGCCGCCGCCACCTACTGTCCCCTCACGTAATAAGTGACGTCGTTTATTGCCCGATTCTGACTGCATGGCAGGATACGGTAAAAAGCATTGTTCTATGGGAATAACCCAGTCGTATGATTCCTAATACACACTTTATGAAACAACTGTGAGTAAATATGGCATCGGAATTCAGTTGAATATGTATAAGATATATTTTACCATAAGAATTTAAACGTGGTGTTACTTTCAAAGCTTTTGGCCCGCATGCTTATGCAGCCTTTTAAAAGATTTACTTACTCATTAATAGTTTGATGAGTACACGCATCACTTCATTTAAAATCAATGCATGCGATAAATAATAACTGCAGCTATTAATAATTATTTATATTTATCAGTCATTGTTATCAATTGTAGTTGTTAAAAACTGCATATATAGTTAATATCTACTATAACTGCGAGGAGTGTATGTGAATGAATTAATTCGTAAGTTCAGCTTTCAAATTACAGCACTAGTATGCAGGTCATAAACTTCGAAGTTTCATTCTGCACGACCTTATCGAGTGGAAGATGCGTACATTTCTCAAAGTTCGGGCCCTACACAATGACTCCATGTACTTATGATCATTAGAAACAGTCAATCGCATTGTACATACTCGTTGGCATTCTTATTTATTTATATATAATAAAATAATCTTATCATTAATATGTATGAGTCTCCATTGCACTATTCGGAATAGTCGGAACTGCGCGGGGTGCCTTCAAACTACTATAGTTTAGAGGTGGGTTCACCTGGAGTAAGAAGTTGTTTGGGGTTTCGTGTGCCGCATTAAAAAGCAATATAGTGCTGTCTAGCGGAGATGCGCTGTGCACGTGAAAATCGATAATGTTAAGGGGCGCCAAAAGTGACGCCCAGAAGGCGTCCCCTACGCACGCTTTTCGGCTGTAGGCGCTGGTGGTTGTATGTTACCTTACCGGCCAACCCAGAAATACTATATCTGAGGGGATTTGGAGGGGCTGGTGTCAGCAGGGTTATTTCTAGCGATGTCAACAGGAAACTACCAAAGATGGATAAGTACCAAAAAACGGATGTATGTGCGCAAATATTAATCTACCTACTAATTAAACTGGAAAGTCAAAGACGTGCGAGAAAGCAGGTCGAACTGCTCAGATTGTTCCACATCTTCCGGCGAAAGGAAGAATTATGCAGAGCACAAAACTCGATTTTCAAAGCTAAAAAATACTGATTTTGTCTCGGTATCCCATGGCGCTCAATTTGTAATTTCGGCCGGTCGGGTAATTAATAAGGCGATTTTGATGACGTATGACTCTAATCAGTTCTTGTTTTCTTGGTTGTTCTTCAACTCCGATTATCTTCGCCGCAACTTTTATGCAACTTCACTGCCCTGCGTATTATTGCACCGTCTTTTTACTTTACTATATTAACTTACCAGACGTGGGAGAGAAATCTGCCTGGAGGGCTGAAGTCTTTCGAAAAAGACAACCTTAAAAGCTGAAAGTCCCCTACCATATTTGCACGTTAAACAATGATCGGGGGTGTTACTGTTATCTGCTGGCCTATAGCGCCAAAGCGGTGGACGTCGACAGATTACGAACAGAGTTGGATGTAGGTGACGATTGTGTAATCTCGCACGGGCCGGCTACTTCGAAGGTCCTTTCTAAGAGTTCTTGCATCCCGAAATGTGCGGAGTCAGGTGACACAGGCATATGAAACATCATACCAGATAGGATGGCAAGTAGGACCGTGTAATTTGTCATTAACTTCACAAATGGTGAATCACTACAAAAGGGAGTTGTGGTAGAACGGAAAAATAACAAGAACAACCTATCGAAGGTTGGCTGAGAGCCGTTCGTCCGCAAGTGACCTTGAAGTTACGGTCTCTGAAAAGACGGAAGATCCACCCAAACGGCTGCTACAGGCCTTCGCAGCCTTTCTAAGGTATGGTCGTTCCCACAAATTCAAGAGTTTATTTTGCCAATATCGAACCCCTAACCCTCTGTCTGTAAAAGACTGTGCATTTTGCAGTATTCTGATTCGCTTCAAAACCCTCGAGAACGCCTACGTTTTCTCCCGAGTTGTGGTTTCGGATAGCACGTCCTTTTATAGGTCCCTTTCGCAGTGGAAATACCAAAACAAATGTCCCTCCTGGACAAGTTAACTCGCAGCATCCTTAGTATCACCTCGGCTAGAATATGTTGCAGCATCCTGCGTGCGCATTTTCTATGCATATCCCGCTTGCTGGCAATATTGTTTAGTCTCCCCTCCCGTCATTTCCTCTCCTGCATTCTACACCGCTGTACCTAAAATCGGGCATACTCGATACCACACAATATTTTTAGAACGGGAAAAGAGCATAAAATCTCTATTTTTCGTTGGCAGTAATCAATTTCATGAGCTAGAAACCTCCCTCTGAAAGAAACATTTCACGCCGTTAGAAGTTTCGTCCTGACTCTTGAATCCTAGTTGCATGAAATGTCTTTGCTTAAGGCCCTGGTGTTCGCCAACTGTCCGGAAATTGTTCTTGATAATTAAACGTGCAACGTCTTTCGCAGCTGACTTTGAACTCCTTCGTCTAGGCTACAATTATATTCGAGATTACCACAAGCACAGCCATAAAGCCTGGCCATCCCATGCGTGTGAGGTAAGCATTTGAATTTCGGCCGCCGAATCGTCCACATCTTTTTGTGGTGAAGGATAACCGCCGGTTTTAAGCGGCTTTAAAGCATGGGCCGCAGTCAGTCGCTTTTTTGCGTTCATCGACCATCAACACCAATGAGGATAGTACTCCTAGTCTGTCGTAGGTACTTCATGCTACAGTGGAGTTAAACTTGGAGCGACAATTGTTAATGGTGATTTCAGTCTTCCTGAAGTCGATCGGTCCGCACTTTTGGGTTCCAGAAAGTTCAGGACCTTTCCTGAAGCTCTGGATATCGAAATGTGACATCGGGTTCTCAACTTTCCCACTCGATGGGCGAATGCGCTTGATCTATTACTCCATAGTGGTAATTCTTGTAGAATATAGCGTAATTCATCGTTTATCCTCTCGCCGCAAACTGCGAGGACTCTTGCGTCTTCTTCATCAGAAAAACGATGGGTCCATTTTGCCTCTGTTCTGTCGCATGCGTAAGCTTCCTAAGACGCTTACTGATGATGAACCGTTGAACGATGAGGTCGGCTTCGCTGGAAACTACGTGTTCTCTGTTGCAAGCCTTCTTTTCTCGCACTTTGAGCACCCATAGAAATCGCAATGCTCCATCCATCCTGACGTATTCCGAAGTTCCTTAGCAGATACCTTGACAACCGTTAATAGTTTAAATGCCACACAGTCCGAGAAGTTTGTTAGAAATTTGAACTCTCAGCCTCCAAATATCCGAATTTTTACTAATACTGTTCATGAAACTTCAAATTTTACATTTCGTGACTCAAATTTGTCATTTGACATTAATGTTAGTCTTGTAGCTGGGGTCCAGATGATGCATCGGTCAGCATCTTAGGAAAGCGAAACGCGTCTTTCACTGTAGAAAGTGAAAACTATCTAAGTTCGCAGAGGAACTCACGCATCCGGTTTGCACTTAGTCCCCATCATTTTGCATCGTTTGCCGACTTTCGTTCCCAAAACACCTATTTCGCTGTTGCGAAAGTTCCGGAGACCCTAGTCCAAGATAAGAATGTGCATTATTTAAAAGATAACAACCGCCGGAGTGCAGTTAAGTGCAATTTCCTAAAAACTCGATATCGTTTCAACTATTAGCGCTCATTTTTGAATTATGCTCTATAGTCTAGAGACAAGAGGTTCGATAACTGCACGCTTTATTTCGAGTTCATTACGGCATTCATATGTATTCGTATTTCTCTGAAGCTTTAGGCTCTCGGACTACCGAGAAAACTTCCACACTTAGAATCCTCATTACATGAACTCTCGCACACGGCGTGTTAAGCTTTCTAGCGCTAAAGTCGAATTTACGCGCGCGAGAATAAGAGTTCCGTTTATCAATTTTTTCGTTGTGGGTAATAGGTTAAGCCGTCGAGAGACGGTTTTTACCATTCAGTGTGTTGCGGATAGGTGGCCATGGTTTGTAAGCAAATGTCACTACCAAAATAATATTCACATAATAAAAGTAGCATTGTCTTGTAGGATGATTTATGCGTGTGGTTGACAAGTTCAAGTTCACTTCCTCGGAGGAAAATAAGGCACTCCTCAACGTGTTTCTTGCAGAGTCGTCGCCTATACAACTGATTCGCGGACATAATTACACTACCCACTAATCTGATGTGGGAAGAATCGATAGCGAGGATTCGGTCTCGACATCTTTGTGCTTATCTCCATTGACAACCCACGAAGACAAAGGTCTACGTAGATTTGCACGCCCTCCTGGCGTCAGTGCCGAAGGCGGATAAATTGATGTCCTTGGTGACTTTAACGCCAGCGTCGGCACAGACCATGCTGCCTGCAGAGGAGCTTTGGACCCTAACGAAATCGCCGGTTGAAACGAAAATGGCTTCCTCCTGCAGCGAACCCGCGCTGAACATCGCCTCCTGCTGACCAACACCTTCTTCCGCCTGCCGATGCGAAAGGAAGCCACTTGGATGTAACCCCAATTGCGGCTTTGGCAGCTGCTGGACTAGGTTCTCGTTCGGCAGCGAGATTGGCATGGCGTGATGTTGATCAAGGTGATCTGTAACGCTGATGGCTGGACGGGCCACCGCCTTTTTATCACCAAGACGAGACTCTACCTGCAACCTCGCGAAGGGGCCACAAGTTAAGCGACCTCTAGATAAGCTGAATATTGTTTTTTTTGTTTTTGTCCACTCACCGTTTGCACTTCTACGATCAACCGACCCAGCGACTGGAAGAACCGCCGGCTACAGATAAAAACGCTTCCAAAGAGACTCGATGATGACTACTGCGGGACGCCGTTCGTTTAACTGCCCTGGCTGTTCTCGGCCGCTCACGTCGTCTGCACCAGGACTGGTTCAATGACAGTGAAGCAACCATCAACTGCCTGCTCGGCGAGAGGAACAGGCTGCAGACAGCCTACCCCGATCGTTCAACCAACGCGAACAAAGCGGCCTTTTACTAATTTTTCCGCCTCGCGCAGCAACGGTTACAGGAAATACAGGACATCTGGATGACTCGCAAGTCCAAGGATATTCAGGAATATTTCGACCACAACGAGTCAAAGAACTTCTTCGTTGCGATCAAGGTGATCAACGCCCCCTTCCCAACGAAGGCAATCGCGCCGCTCCTCAACTCCAACGTATAAACGTTTCTGATGGAGAAGATGCAGATTCTGAATCTCCGACGCCGCTATTGACCTGCTCCTCCAAGTGGAAATCAACATTGACCTGGATACCTCACCCTCTTTCCTAAAAAAACCATCTGTGTTGTGCAGCAACTCTCCAGCAGGAAAGCGCCAAACTCCGATGCAATCCCAGCTGAAATCTACAAGCCGAGCGGCCGCCGACTGACAGACCAAATCGCGGCGGTATGGCAGGAGATGTTCTGCAGAATTTCAAGGACGCAATCATCGTCAATCTGTACAAGCGCAAATGGAACCGGCAAATCTGCGACACCCACAGAAGCGTCTCGCCACTCAAAACCGCCTGAACGATCTTCGTTCGCATACTCCTTAGCTGTCCTAAACGGCTACTTAGAGCAAAGTCTCCTGCCGGAAAGCCAATGTGATTTTCGACGCCACCAGTATGATCTTTGCGTCCACCGGCTACAAAATACGTGACAGTAAATGCGGCCGCACCTCTATACCACTTTCGTGGCTCTGATGAAAGCCTTCGACACGGTGAATCACGATGGGCTGTGGAGAATCATGCAAAAGTTCCGCTGCCCCGAGCGATTTACGCACCTGGAACGTCAGTCCCACGATGAGATGATAGCATGCGTCACGGACAACGGCACAATCTCCGGGGCGTTCGCAGTGACCAGCAAAGTGAAGCAGGAGTGCGTACTCGTAACCACCCTCTTCAGTCTCATGTTCCCTGTCATGCTGATGGACACCTACTATGATGAACGCCCCGGGACTAGCATCGACTACATGACCGACAGGGATCCTCTCAACAGCCGGTGAATGCGGGCCCCGAAGGGTATCTCCACAACTACTATTCACGATCTGCTCTGCGCATTCGACAGTACGACTGAAGAAGACGTGTAACAGAGGATGGACCTCCTCGTCTTCGGCTGCGTCCACTTGGACTGACCACCAATGCGGACAGTACGGTGATCACGCATCAGCAGCCATCAGTGCCCTCGAAACCACGTCAACGCACCAAACTGAAGGCCGTAGATATTGTCAACTACCTAGGCAGTGCAATGCCACACTGCATCGAAATCGACGACAAAATGGCCCATCGGATCTTCAAAGCCAGCCAAGAACTTGGTCAGCTGCAGAACATTGTGTGGAACCGCGACTATCTTTAACTGAACACCCAATCAAAGATGTACAAGGCCGTCGTCCTGACGACAGCAGAATTCTTAACCTCAGATGGCAAGACAGTATCCCCAACACGGGACTTTAAGAACGAACCGGAAACCTCAGCATCCACGGCATGCTAAGACAATGTCAACTACGTTGGGGCAGCCATCGCGTAAGGACGGGAGGTACACGTCTACCGAAACAATTATTCGACGAAGATGCCACCACCGGTGCTCGCCGACCGGGAGGACCAAAACGACGCTACATGGACACATTGAAGAATTCTCTTAAGTCATTGCAAGCGCCAAGCGCGGTGGCTTGCAAGGCTGCCGACTGGTGTCTGGACTCGGTCCACAGTCTGCTATATGTGTGTGTAATGGCGGACTGGTGGGCTGAGAGTCAGGCTGCAACGGCTCCCCAATGTGACCCCTGGCACTCTCATGCAGGTGAGGGGTGTGTGTGTACATGGGTGGTTCTTCTCGGCCGATGACTGATTGGTTACCTAGCCTTTGAGGAGTGATGGCCCAGGCAAATGTAGGGCCGCTTGTCACCCTTCTGCGTCCCTGGGATTGTAAGCGTATGCTATGCGAGGATCAGCAAACCATTACTATCGCAGTCTGGCGTGTGCTGGCAGCTCTATGGCATCTAGTTCCCCGCCTTTAGACGCATTTGCACTCCCGATGGGTATACAGGTCACGAGCGTGGCTGCTCAGTCATCCTCGTCGCCTTCCTGACCTGCTGTGGTGCTGGTGTTTATGGTCCAAGTCCTGGTCAGGCGTTTGCTATCGACCGGGTGATACGCCTAGGTGGGGTCCGGCCGTGTCAGCCACCCGCGTCCTCTCTCACCTCCGGTCTTCTTGGCTGCGTCTTAACGCGGGACCCGCTTCACCTTGTCGTGCAGCGCATTGTGAACATCGTCGGGCACGACGCTCGAACTGTCAGGCTCACGAAGATGCGACAAAGCTGTCATCGAAACAAGTCATCAAATGGCAGTCCTTGTTCAGGGCCATCATGTAAACGAAGACAAGAACATCCCTTTGCTGCATGTACTACGGAGTGCATTCTATAAGGCACATCATCCTTTCTGGATCAGATCAGTATTTTACACTTTCACTCGAGTTGTCGTTAGACGTTGCGTTTTCTTCAGGCATCTTTGCCCCTTTGCCAACCATGACCGCCGCGCCTGTATTTCATATTCTATGTGAGGTCGAACTAAGTTGCCGTTAAATATCCCAAGAAAGTACTCATCGCAATCTACAAAAAGTCCTTTTGACATCTGCTGCACCTCTTGATGATTTCGCAGACTTGAAGCGTTGCAGTACTGGTTTTCAAACACCGAAATTGTTCTGTGACGGTTCTATGGTAAGGTGGATGTATCTCAGGGAATAGACATTGCGGGTGATGGTTGGTTGGACGCAGGTGGAGGACAGCTCACTTTCGTACACTGAAATTCAGAAGTCATCATTCAGACCATGTCTTTATTTGATGCAGATTACTTTGAAAAACTATCTGGCCATTCGGGTCCTTCATGACTTCCCAGAAGTTAACGACACTGACGAACAGGATCTTGCTACAGTTGAGTTCATGAAGGCTCTCGAAAAGTGAGGACCGGAGAACTGAGTCTTAAGGAATGCCACAACTCACGTTCACCCAGTCCAACTTGTCCTCTCCGATACAGACGCGTTTTTTAACAAACCCGAAACTTCCCCACCTAAGTCAGGGTTCTCTTCTTGATCTCAAGGACGCTCAGTCCACGTAAAAGGCATTGATGTGGGACGTTGTCGATGGCTTTACATAAATCGAAACCCCCTTCTAAATTACTGATCCAGCCTCCAGAGGAGTCAGCAGTTTAGACAGAATGGAACGTCCTCACCGAAAACCATGTTAAAATTTTTTAAGGTGGCATTAACATGTGCTTACCGCGTCAAGACGCAACAGTATATCTTGGTTGTTTAAGGGCACGTTGTCATTCAGTGCTCAACGGTGTTCGCCCATCATTTTGTCAGGATGAAGTCTAGGGTTCAAGTCTCTCCGTGTCCGAAAAATTAATCATACCAATGTTTACATCAGGAATTCTCGAAGGTGCGTGTTCATTTGAGTAGTGTAAATGTAACAGAGCAAGTCGTCGATGTGTGTAAGCAGGGCACAGATTGCCGTCCCCAATATAATCTGGACTACACAAACATTGTTTCTTTACGAATGAGTATTTAGTCTGCATTTGAATGCCTAAAAATTTTCTGAAAGCACCAAAGCAGCAGAAAGTCCGTTTCAGGCTCCATCGAGCGCTACGAGATGGCGTGCCATTGGACGCCCCTAGGGGTCAGCCCCTGTGCGGTTTAAATGAGTGACCACGGGGGTGGTCCGTTGTAAACAGTTTGAGGAGATCATGAAAGTTTAGGAGACACACGCGAGACTGCCATTGAGTGGATTTTGTCTGGTGAACCTGCCACCAAGTAAACAGTCTTTCGAATTGCCGGATTCCCTAGGGCATTCTCAATCATCCCACCCAGCGCGTTAGGTTCCTTTGTTTTGGACTCACAGTTAGGCAAGGTATGGGGCGCTCGTAATGTGACATGGGCGAGCATCGAATACGCAAATACACTGTTTTACTTGTGACATTATGCCTAGTTATTATATATCGGTAGGCATGCTAAGCTAGGTTACGTTCCTGGCCAGGGTTGTGGAAATGATAAAATATATGATGAAAGGTAAAGCTAGGTTTCAGGTCATGACGAGACTGAAGATTAAGGTTAGGAAAAAGGGTAGGGTTGGGGCTATGGTTGAGGTTAAGATCAAGCTTACCCAACACATATCGTTTTACCGAATTCGACTTTCTTTAATCAATAGCCTTTGATGGCCCTTTTCCCACCCGTTCGCACGTCCCTGATTAGCATCTTTCAACTCGCACTGTCCGTTCCGGTTCCTCGGTGGAGTGTTAAAACAAACGTGTGGCAGAATTGTGAGTTTTTCCATACCTTACGCAGATTCCGCTAACTGCCGCGTCCATTCGCTCTACTGATAAAACTGTAGTATGGTATCCCTGGGCTCCATGTTCTCAGTGGGTTTACGAATACAATTCTTGCAGTGACTTGCTTTCACGAGTTGCTAATCTCCTTCATCAGTTTCCGTGTTATTCCTTTCTGCAACCCCTTATACGAAATCAGGAAGCAGAAGAAACGAAGTCGCGTAATGATCCCTAAACAGTCTTTCCGAGATAATTGATACTTTGTGACGCGTCAGTCACTCCTTTTCAATGCCTTGAACCTCAGGGCTGGCTGGATGGCAGATGTGTGTCTTTAAATGCCATTCCGGAATGAGGTCTGTCCCGATATCGCTTCCTACTCAATTCATCTACTAAACATTTGTCTTAAGCGGTTCGTTTTTAAAGTAAAAGCCTGGAAACTAGGTAATTGTAAGAACAGTTAACTGGGCAGAGAAAGGAAGTCGAGGATAAAGTGATTTTGGATGCAGTACTGCCAATATCGAACGTTACTATCAGGTTAATATACTAAAAGTCTGTAGGGGAGTAAAAAATGGGCACTGACTGGACTACCGTCAACTGTATCATGGAAAGAGCATTGACAACAGATTTTTGACATCGAGAATGCTTGAGAGAGCTTTCCATAAAATACAGTAAAAGACTACTACCTGACCTTAGCGTCCAACAAAGTGAATTTCACGGCCCTAATGACGACAGATCCAGAAAATGACAAGTGCGGAGGGATAAAAAGATGGCACGGTCTAATAAAAACGAGGCACTAATTATGCACCTTGGAATTACCTGGTATAATGCAGTGGGTGATAAATTCCGGAAAAAATACAAGTATCTTGAGCAACAAAGGAAGCAAACCCAATGGAACACAATAGAGTCTACATCAAGTTGGAGGAGGAAGCAGGGAATACCTTATCTAGAGAGTTCTTAAACTGCTAGCATATTGCTTATATTGCCTGGGAAGTATTATATGCAAAATCTGGGCAATATTCCCTACTGTTCAAGTTTTCGTCATATGAAGCTAGCCGGGATATGTCCATAACTTTCTATGCAAGTCGGCATTCTGTAACGAATGAACTTTTTCTGAAAATCCATGAAGCCTTCATTATGATCTAGTAAGCAGAATCCCCTATTTCCTCGACCAACTGCGGGATGACCGCCCCTACGTCATCCGGTTTGACCCCTCAAAGCCTCAGGCTCAAGATTGCAAAAGAAACTCTGTTGTCCGTGAAACTATCCCATCAATGCGCAAGAGATCGACTGGTCTTCGGCGAGCACCCCACCCCCAACCATCATATATTCCCGATCGAAACCGATCGTGGCCAAGTGGGTAGAGGCGTGGACTTCTAAATACCAGGTCGCGAGTTCGAGCCTCGGGTGTTCCACACTTCGGGGTTGGGTATGACTGGCTGACGACAGCTGATAAGCCAGAAATGGGCATTCCAGTCTCCCTTGTCTTTGTCGGTAATGTCATTCTGCCTATATCATTCGGTTGACATTTCATGAGTTAGCGCACCTACTATACTAGGAACAAGGAGTTTTGTAAAATGAAGAACAATGAATGACACAAGGGAAGATGAGGGCCACATCAAGGGAATGATCCGGCTGGATGGGCATGTGACGCCGGCATGCCTGCTAAACAACCCATGGGAAAGGAAGCGCTGTGGGCAGCCACAGGAGGGGGAATTGGAAGATGCCGACGTAGACACTGAACGGGACAAGAGTTTCGACGAGTGTTGAGGGAAGGGAGTCGGCAGTTGCGTAGGGAAAGTGGCGTCGACATCATTACTCAGCTACTTAAGAGTGAAGGTCGAGTGTTTGCGAATAACCACAGGCAAAATCATGAAGAAAATCGCTAAGAAAGCGTTGGCGCAGTTCCTCGAGTAGAATCCCCTCCTCTTCTATGCCCAACACAGTCTTCGTAGTGGCAGGTCCTGTCTAACGAATCTGTTCTTTTCACTTGAACGCTGCGCCAAAGCGCGTGACGAAGGCAATACGATGCACACCATTTACATCGACTTCAAAAAGGCCTTCGACAGCGTTCCTCATCAGCGTCTGCTGCACAAACTGCGCAACTTTGGGTTTCGCGGAAATCACCTTGTATGGATCCAGAGCTTTTTGACCGGACGGTTCCAAAGCGTGCAGGTTGGGCACCAACAGTCCCCAGAGGTAACCGTAGTGAGGGTCGTTCCACAGGGCTCAGTCTTAAACCCCGCGTTATTCCCCGTTTTCATAAATGACCGCGTCAAGGACATAGACTGTAAAATCATCCTGTTTGCTGAAAACCTAAAATTTTGGAAAGTTATTCTCAATGCGGCAGACAGAAACCATCTGCAAACAAACGCGAACAGGCTCGAGGACTGGTCGAAGCGCTGGCTGATGCCCATCAGTGCAAGTAAGTGCAACTGTCTTTATCTCGGCAGCTGCAGATCCTCCATCCCCAGGGTTAACTTTCTTTGCAGTACACTAGTGCAGCGAGGTGAAAGTCAGAAGGACTTGGGCTTTCAGATTACATCTTCACTCAAACCAACACCGAACTGCACGAAGGCGGCCAAGTTGGTCAGGTCTACATTGCAACTGGTTAGGCGAGCCCCTATGAAATTTGACAACGCTTTTCCAAAATTCTTGGCGCCTTCGCGCGCCCTCATCTAGAATACGCCATAGTGGCATGGAGACCTTGGACTGTCAAGGGTTCTGCCGTCTTAGAGAAGGTCCGGAGGCGGACGACAAAAGTGACAAAAGGTCTGCCAGCACTGTCAACTCTTAACCTGTTTCCCCTTGCCCACAGGCAAGTAAGCGGTGGCTTTATACTAACCTTTCGCACTATGAATGGCCTAGATTGTTGCTTTGTCCTCCAGTTATTTTTCGCTCAAGCTAACACGCCCAGTTTGCACGGACATCCCCTAAAACTACGCTCAGCTAAAGCAAGCGTCAATGGAGAAAAGTTCTTCTTCAGTAGCAGAGTGCTTTCGGCGTGGAACGCCCTGCCCATTGCTGCCCGACTCTCCTCCTGTGTGGACTCATTTAAGTGTCGACTCGACGCATAGCAAGCCTCCCAACCACCAGTCACACACATCCGCACAACCGGTCATTCATATTACACGTGTGTATACTACTTACAACTAGTCGGTAGTCGTCTATATTTGCAGTTTTTTAGACCAGCAGACTGCTGCCTGCTTTTCGCACGCCCCCGACAGTTCGACTGTCGATTCCGACGATGTCCACTGTGGGCTACACAGCAAGGTGAAGCAGGCACACTTACGCGTGAATTCATTTATAGTGATAGTAGACTTTCGCAGCATCTACCGTAATCTCTCTTCTCCACTCCCCGCTTTTCGCATGCAATTATTTAAACAATCTCCCTCTCTTTCAATTTTTCATTTATCGGTGCTTTTCTTAGACAACCTGTAGCTAGTAGGGAATTCAAAGGCATTCGTCTATTTTTCCCTTAAAAGTGAACTGAAATACCTCATTGCTTTGCGTCCCCTCCCATCAAAAACAATAGGTACACCTGATGCAGCAGGGGGTCTGCCTGGCTAACGGCGAGCGGTTACCTGGCTTTGTCAAGTTCCCTCGCGACTTTAACTACCGGGTATTACAAACGTGCTACAGGCACAGTCAGTATCCGATACGCCTGTACGAGATCTCCTCGAATCTGCCTGTACTCAAGAGGAACGAGTTTAAGTTCACTAAGTCGGCAGTTGTAAGGTAAAGTCCTGAGGCCATTCACAATTTTTGTCACTCTCCTCTGAACTCTTTCTAGCAACTTATTGTCTTTTTTTAGCCACGGGCGCCACGCTTGGATGCCATATTCCACATGCGAACGAATGAACGCTTCGTATACTTTTCCAAATAACTCTGTGTCTATGTCTACGAAAGTTCGTTTAATGGCAAAGAGAACGATGCTTGCCCTTTTGACCGCCCCAACGCACTGAGAGGAAGGCTTAAGGGTCGACAAAATGTTGATCCCAAGATCTTTTTGTTCGGTTACATTTGAAACGCACCCTCCACCAAGCAGATAATGGTGATCCTCTCCGTCGGATTTTCCAGTCGTTTTGAGTCGCAGCGCGACCCACTTCTCAAGGTTAAACTTCAGCAGCCATTTATCAGACCATTTGCATAGGCGGTTCACTCCTTCTTGCGGGGCCCGTTCATCATTTTCTTCTTTGATCGCTCACCATAACTTGATGTCATCGACAAACATGACTTCATTGAAGTCCAGTCCATTCATACAGTCGTTGACGTAAATTAAAAATAGTACTGGTCCTAGTACAGAATCCTGGGGACCTCCACTCACAACTGGCACTGGTGTTGACTTCGCACTACCAATACACACAGACTGTGATCGACCAGTCATAAAGTCCTTTATCCAGTTTAATAGGGTTCCCCTTGTCCCTGACCCTCGGACCTTGTAAAGCAACCGGTGCTGTGGAACACTATCAAAGGCTTTCTTGAAATCGATGTAAACGATATCGACCCTTGTTCCTTCGTCTAACGAGCGATACCACTGTTCCGTTGATTTCGTCGAAAACCATGTTTGGAACTAGCAATGAAATTATTTCCTTCAAGGAACTTCATTATGGATTTTTTGACTATTCTCTCCATGACTTTGCAACAACTGCACGTTAGGCTCACAGCCGGAAATTGTTTGCGCATGTTCTAGATCTACCCTTATGAATGGAGTATATTTTCGCCAATTTCCAATCAGAGGGGAGAATGCCTCGGTCAAAGGACGACCTGAAGATGTGCGAAAGTGGTCTGGCGAGTTCGCAACCTTTCCCTCACGACTGATGCCTCTCAGCCCTTCTTTGTCATCTGTCATTATAGAAGCATTGCGAACTTACTGGCATAGTAGGGACTAAGCGTTTGGCGTAGGAGGTTGAGAATGCCGATTTGGAGTTAAGAATAAAGACATTATCCCATTAATAAACACTAGAAAGTTTTTTTTAATCGTAACATTTTGCACGTGGCTAACTGAAGGATAATTGCAAACGGAACGATGATGAATAAGTGCGAGGTAAAGCAAGGTAAAGCAAGCGTCAATGGGCGAAAGTCCTTCTTCAGTAAGAGAGTGGTTGCAGCGTGGAACGCCCTGCCCATTGCTGTCCGACTCTCCTCCTCTGTGGATTTATGTAAGTTTCGACTTGACGCATATCAAGCCTCCCAACTACCAGCCACACCCGCATTCACACAGCCGATCATTCAGATTACATATGTTTATACTACTTGCAACTAGTCAGTAGTCGTTCGTCTTTGATATTTTTCGATTGTCAGACAGCTGCCTGCTTTTCGCACGCCCCCGACAGTCCGACCGTCGATTCCGACGATGTCCGCCGCGTGCTATACAGCAAGCTGCAGCAGGCACACTTACGCGTGAATTTATTTATAGTAGTAGTGGACTTGCGCAGCATCTACCGTACTCTCTCTTCCTCACTCCCCGCCTTTCGCATGCAATTATGCAATCTCCCTCTCTTTCAATTTTCCCCTTATCAGTGCCTTTCTTAGACAATCTGAAGCCAGAAGAGAGTTCAAAGGCATTTGCCTACTTTTCCCTTAAATTGCTTTGTGCCCCCTCCCATCAATAGGTACACCTGATGCAGCGGGGGTTCTGACTGGCTAACGGCGAGCGGTTACCTGGCTTTGTTAAGTTCCCTCGAGACTTTAACTACTGGGTCATACAAGCATGCCACAGACCCAAGAGGCAGACATTGACGCTACGGCAGCCATTGCGTACAATATAATCCTCGTAGATGGCGAGTTCGGACTGTGAACTGACGCATGAGAGCGAAAATAGAGATTGAAGCCGACAACAAGGAATCCATCCCCGCAACAAATCAACACATTCCACACTGGAATATTACAGATTTGGTGGGTTTTAGGCTATCACCACGCAGTAGGGGACGTGATTTGGAACGTTTCCAGTCCTACTCAGGACTAGGGGTCAGACTGTAATGGCTCCTACTTGATTTGACCTTTATGACATTTTCGCCTATGTGGGATTTAAGATCTTACAGTGAAACTAGCTTTGTTCATATAGATCGGGGACCAGGTAGTGTGAGGAAAGTGTATAGAGGGCACCAAGCTCTGTCAACCACTTTGCCCAATCCCATCGTCAACTGGCAGGGTGGTTCGGGCGGCCGACTGATTCAGAGTGGGAGGAGGAGAGAACATAACCGACACTAGGGAATCCATCCCAAGGCATATCAGCACATTCCTTGCTATGGTAGATCTGACGTGCCTAAACCTATCACGGTGCGCCAAAAGCCGTGGCTTCGAGGGTTCCAACTGACTGGATAACTCGGTCATACACAGGAATAACAGTCAGGTTGCAATGGCCCCTTGGGCGCTCTCATTGATACGAAACTTAATCATCCTTATCAAGGTCTGGTAAATGCAATAGCGACCAGGTCATGTGGTACGCACAGACTAACCGTTTAGGCAGAATGTTATAACCGACAAAGGCAAGGGAGACAGGACTGGCAATATCTGGCTTACTAGCCGTCGTCAGCTAGTCATACCCAATCCCGAAGTGTGGAACACCTGGGGCTCGAACTCGAAGTCCAACGCCTCTAAACACTCGACCACGGGCCCGCTGTCCTGTCGGTTTCGATCGGTAATATACTATGGTAGAGTAGCGCTCACCGATCGTTCTTACGGAACTCACACGTTCCGTTGTGCCTTACGGATCGCTTTGGGTTTTTCAAGCACTGTCTCCAAGCTAACTTCCGGGATAAGAAAGAATGCGATCGATGCTGCGAAATTCTGTCACTGGAGTAAGTTGGGTAAAAGAGGATCGAGCGTGGTAGGTGTTGTGCAAGTCCGTTTCACGCGCAAGTAACCAGCTCTGCGCTCACTTCGAAAGGCAGTGACGAACGTCGCATTCGACTGTAAAACTGTTGTTTATTGCCCGTGTTTTTAGGAATGGTCTGGAAAAATAAATTAACACAGAAAGAGATAACTCAAAGTTTGAACAAAATCTAGTCGATCAGGGGGGTTCGCACTGGATTAACTGAGAGTTAGGTATCGCGAATCCAGTCCAGCCACGGACATTACCCCACCGTCAGACCTCTTTTCTGACCTAAAACTATTGCCCTGTTGTTGTTACACTGTCAAAGACTCTGAAGACGGGTATCTGTACGAACCCGAAAGCTCAGATTGGTACAAAGGTGTTCCAGTGATTGCATCTTTTCCTTCTTTAGCTCCTCTGTTATTTACATTTTTGTGCGATGTAAGAGCGCAACGAATCGTCCAATAGAAATAAATCCTAAGTGGCTCATCTTTCGCTTGTTATTCGTCTGCATTTTGACGCCGACCTTTTGCAGATTCACGATCGACCTGAAGGGTCTGAGTAGTGAATACGGACTTAAGTCAACGTAAATAAAAACAACTGCCGATGGCAGCTGTCACTTCTAGTAGATCTCTGCTTAAAATAGGAAGAAGTCTCACTATACCTGATAATTATAAATAAGAAGGAGTCTCGCTACATTTATAGATTAACATCACCATAATTGCTTAGGTTGTTTTGAATACTGCAATGCGCGGATCAATGCCCTTATCGGAGTGGTCACCCCCGAATACTTGGTTATGATACAATTATTTCCGGCGGTCTGTGCGGATCCCACGCAAAAAGATTAGCACTTACGTACTAGGCGTTTGTCTCAGATTTTTGCGGTATATATTCGTGTATTTCTCCATGGAACTAGTGGTCGATGCGCATTCACCATGGTCTTTACGTCAGGCGTTGAGATTTAAAAACTGTGCTTAAATAAAGGGAAAATATTTGCCTTGCTTCATTTCCGAGGAAATTAATGCGCGAACTTGGAGTAACTCTTTCGAAACAGGCCTTTTCAGGCACGGTCCGAAATTTGATATGAATATTTGAGCCGAAATCCATCAGCTACTGCGGAATAACCGCTTAATATTCACAAACCGCCAACAGGCAGCCAGTAGTATATCATTGTGCGGTTATTCCGCACAATGCGGTTATTCCGCAGTAGCTGATGGATTTCGGCTCAAATATTCATATCAAATTTCTGACCGTGCCTGAAAAGGCCTGTTTCGAAAGAGTTACTCCAAGTTCGCGCATTAATTTCCTCGGAAATTAAGCAAGGCAAGTTGAAACTGGAGTTCATATACCAGAAAACACACGGGGAAAGCTGGGGGACCCACAGACGAGCCGAACCCCTCGCAGCTGCGTCAGGCAGCGGCACAAGATCGGCGAAACACTCGTGTCTGGGCTTTTAGCTAATACCTGTGTTGTTAGTACGGTAAATTATTGCACAAAGGGAAAATAGTTAGATGATATGACGTGCATTTTGTCAACATATGATTCACTGGTAAGGTACATGTATAATTTTGCGCTAACCGCTTTCGTACGCCCGCGCACCATAATAAGCATTTACTTCCGAAATATGGATTGAGACTTAGTGTCAACAGCCAGATTCCCGAATGACAACATTAAGTAATTAATTCCTCGTGTGATAGCGTGTTAAGCATGAGCTCGTAAGCCCAGGAAGCAGACAACTTAGGGGTGATATCGCTCAAGTGCAGCACTTTATTAAAAACAAAAATTGACGCAATGTTTTCCCGGAATAAATTTAAGTTAGGCAAAGGCGGCAAAGCATGCAGAATTTACTGACGTCATAAATTTCGAAACCTCTTATTCAGCTGCACACGGTCATTGCATGGTTATATGACAAGGCAAATTGGCTTCTTGCGCTTTGCAGAGGCCGCTGCAATACGGTGGAGGACAGCAGAACTCTGTAAGCAGCTGGACCACGTGATAAAGCCGGCACTACTATGGTAAGGATCGATAATAGGCGAAACCCTGTTCCCAAATACGCTCTCTCATTTCACCCCCACCCCCATCCCCTCCCCCTCCCCGGCATGATTGAATGCTGCCCCCGCGATTTGCACTTTTAATCACGCCTGATAAGTTCTCACTGTAATCCCAACTCGCCTGCATAGATGAATTCTCTTCCCCTCCCCCCTCGTCATGCGCATCCACATACTAGACCCCTGTCTCTGGTTGCCTATCGCGTTTTATCTCTCTAGGTCAATCGCTGCTTGAACAGTTTGCCTTGTCATATAACAGTGCAATGACCGTGTGCAGCTGAATGAGAGGTCTCGAAATTTATGACGTCAGTAAATTCTACATGCTTTGCCGTCTTTGCCTTATTCAAATTAAAAACAATGACTTATATTTTTACTAATACAGGCAGAATGAAATTA